ATGCTGACGTTTCAAATGTTGTCACATAGAAATAGCGATTTGAAGTAGACTGTCGAACGAGAGACAGACTAGTCGTGCATGTCTTTATGTCTTTATGCTGCTGTGATTAAATTTGACGCTGATAGCAAGCTTTGGCTTAGATCAGCTGTTGAAAGCCCATCTGTGGCGGGCGTTTGTGCGGTTTTTGAAACAGTTGCACATGTGAAGGTTGCCACATTAGTAGAGGGCACGCTTGCCTAAAATTATCTCTAATCTTTATAAAATTAACCATTACCACCGATACTAGTTGTTGTTATTGAAGGTGATGTATATTACGGGACGTTATCTATTAGCAATACCCTATCTATATAGATTTGCTATCCGGTGCCGCTATCTAGTGTAGCCTTAGAGGGCAACAGTGCGAAGGGCAGTTCTCCTGGTCTTTTATTGACGATTAGCCGATGCCCGATCGTGATATTTCTACAGCTTATAGGGTGGGCCTAATGTCTACTTTTAGTGACGTCTCGAGCGAGTGGTTGGCTTTTTTTGTAGTGGGGCCTCCAGTTTCTGTGCGATGGATCCATCAATTTGTGCGTGAACTTAAAGTAAAGCTTAAATGTCCAATGCATAGTAGCTCGAGGTCTGCAATTTGAGGGCATTCTTTACAGTGGTGAGCCCAGCAGTTGGTTATGGCATCGTGAGCAGGTGCACGCGCTTTGCGGTAAAGTACTGCGATACGCGAGTTGCGAAGTGGGCATTTCAGCCGGAGTTGTGTACGCACCAGTAAAACACCAATAGTAAAAACGGAGCAGAGTAAATCTGCTGTATTTTGCCTGCCCCAGACCCTGAAATATAACCCATGATATATAGCTAAGTTGTTCGTCTTTGTCGACCATTTAAGTGCCTTGCTGGTCATCCAGACGATGTGAGAGAAGTTTTTCGGTGCCAGCACTCACACTAAGACAGATCCTGCGAAGCCTGGTCCGCAATTGCCTTTTGAAGCGACATAGAAAAAAGAAAGTGATCTAACGACGAAGGCAACAAGTCCAGCACGGTTTGGTGTTTCGAACATGTTGTGCTATAAAATTGTAGTTTTTAAAGCTTAGTGCGCCTGCGTCAGCACTATTTCACGGGTACGTCCGCCATTTTAATAAGTATGCCCTCGAAATATGAGAAAGTTCTGCGCAAAACAGATTGGAAAGATCTAGCTATAGCTCACCTCTGATAATCTCGGTCGGTAGATCTGTCGTAGCCGCTCCATCCAGATAGCATGATGTGTTATCGCTATATTGTCGTTCGAAGTCAAAGTCCTGTTCAAATGTCAAAAGCAACTTCGAGCGCCTCCATATTTTTAGCACGGGTCTAGAGGAACCTAGGGTATACCAAGAGTACATTTGAAGTATGCAAAGGTATAGAGAGGGAAAATTGTGTGGCAAAACAGATTTAGCATAATTGTCGAGCCTTCTATAGACGTCTGCAATATGCATCCATTGTCTCTGTGCAACAATACACATCTCAATAAATGACAAGCCATAGCATTATCAAGTGAGGATCACTCTTGATCCGGACGGAACAGATTGTTCGCCAATTATTTCCAGAAAGGATTTCGTTTACTGTAAAGGCGACCAAGTGTCTGACAGACGTTTAGATGGTAGCATGAGTCCTGCAGAGGTCAGTCTACAAGAGGTTATTGAAGCCACCTGTAACAATTGCGCATTTTCGGCTTTATGCTTGGTCATCTCGCTTTACCATGCATGTTATGAAGCGCAAACTTGTTATAAACTTTTTAAAAGAGCAGGTAAGAGATTGCCAAAATTTTGCGCCAATGCAGTTTTTGTAGTTCAAGTCATACTTGGGTGCGCTTTTAAATGTACGGGTCCTCCGTGCACGCGAAATGCATCACAATTCAAAAAAATCTTCATGGGAATGACGATTGTAGAGAAAGTGACAACGACTGTGTGTGAGAGGTTAAGTATCTCACTTATATATACTCCATAGTCGAGATGTTGGGTTGTCTTCGTCCGATAAGCTTAAAGAGCATCTGAAAAAGTGGGGCACAACAGTAGTTTAGGAAAGTTGTAACTCAGAGCATGGCGAAATTCGGTAAATTTATAGGTCTTTGCTGGATAAAGACGTAACATACTCATAAAATGGTGTGAAGCGTTTAATTCCGGGGATTAGCATGTCCATGTGAGTGCATCATCAAGGGTAGTTTTTTCTGCCGCAAAATATGCATTTTGAGGATGTAATGCAAGCCCTCCTCGAGACGGAATCTATAAAAATCAAAAAGAGAATTGTAGGCCAACCAATGTGGGTCCACACGACTTAGCCGAGCCTCATCAGCCTTCAAATTATCAAGTGTGGTGTTGGTCAGAGAAGTTGTGCATCCACTACAACGCTGCCATCGTCATCAAATGTGCATTAATTAAATACTAACGAATAGTATTGCTCGTCGCCTTACGCTGTTTGTAGTGCCACTTTAGACATGTTGTAACGCCAATACTCCTAAAAAGCAGCTTCAGGATCCCGCACCTTGGTCTGATTAGGATAAGGCAGCACCATTATAAAAAAAATCATGTAAGAAGGCTGATAACTACCACTGCCCGACAAGACGCCTCTAAGTTAGAGTCCATTCAAGATAGATTTTTATGCTGCCCACAAAACAGTTGGATGTCCAAGATAAAAATGCCTGATCGGGAAAATTGTGGAATTGTAGGCAGGAAAGAAGATATTATGTTCCGATCGTTTTCGCAGCCATCGTAATGATCTCAGTCTTGAAAAAGGGCACCACAATCCAACCATTTAGATTAAGAGCATGCTTGTTCTTCCAGGACCCATAGTATATTATTTCGCGCGTGTACCCCGCACAAAATTGTAGATTAGTACGAGAAGACGTCGAATAGTAACCTTCGCCGGACAACATTGTCTGGTCAAATACAAAAATATTAAGATTATCGGTGGCGCGAACGAGGTAGGATCTTTGTTTTACAAAAAGCGTCTTCTGTCAATCTAGTAAGATGTTCCCGGACCACCCAAATGCATCGTTTCTGGTTGATTGCAGATACACCTCGCTGTCAACTTATAAGACCAATGTATCTAGAGTGGTCAGTTTGACATTATAGTGTTATCCCGAGTGTATGGTCCGCCTTCAAGCGCGCCTTCCATCAAAACCTATGTGCGTTGTTAGTTTTCACTTTGAAATCGGGAGGCGAGTAGGTCAGGAAAGCAGTACAAAAGGCATAGTATAATCCTGCGAATTGTCGAGTATTTTCAGGGATGATGCGTTGTAGCGTGCTCCAGTTTAGGCATAAACCACACTTTTCCCATTAGATCTATGTGCAGGTAAGAATTTATTCGACTTTTGCCTTAGCAGCCCAAAACTTTTACTTTTGAGGTCGTAGTGCACGCTATCTCGATGACGTCTCCGTTGCAGAATTGAAAGCGATGCATGCATTGAAAATTGCTGGTTCACCCGGCAGATGTAGACCATTTCTGTCGTCCTACCTGTGAAAAGAGTGGGCGTTTTAAATATTCGTGGTATCCCTTTAGCGCCACCATCGCCGCTGAATGTTTATTTTAGATTAATATAGAAAACCCTTGGCCCTCTAACTTTCTGGCTCATCAAATCTAACTTAAACATGTTCAGATACCGACACACCAACAACGTCTGCTTCAGTGTCCTCCAATAGAGGTATAATTCGGATTAGTTCAGCACAAGACCAAATCAGATCATGGCTAGTGGGTTAGGCACTGTCATGTAACGGGGTCGCACTAGCCATCGGCTAAATTGGTTGAAGACCTTTCATATCTGATATGGGAGACAAGTGTGGCCTTAGTATTTATAGTAATAGAGAATACCGATTAGCCGGTATTCTCTGAGTTACGGCACTTACCGTGGAAGTTCTTTGTATCGTCATCATCCGATGACTGAGTGTTGTGCCAACCATCCATTTAGCTCAAATACTAATATTTGTAAAAGTTCTAGTCCAGTCTAATATAAGGGCACTTAAAGTAGTAATTTACTTCATATAAAATCTAAATAAATTCAGCTCTCATTTTAGGCGGAAGTCCGTAGACTTCCCCCTTTCGCACGTTGCGCACGACAGTTCCGTAGAATTGTTGTGGGTTAGATAGTCTTTAGACTCCAGTATTCCTCCCTTGCACATTGTGCGTGTAGTTCCTTATAGCTACAGTTGTCTGAGATAATAAGTCATATAGTCCGCGCTAGTTTCGTAGAGGTAGCCGAATCTTTAACTTGATGCATTTGTTACTTAAAACTAATCGGCCACTGTCCATCACAACAAATTCGCTGTTAGCCGTAAGACTATGGCTTAACCCGTAAAGTCTTCCTCTGACTTAGGAGCTGTGGTAGCTCCGCTACATGTCACTACCCCTAATACGTCCCCGATAAGGCAGCTAAGGTAGTCTTATGAAGAAGGCCAGGTCCGAACTATTTTTGCAACCATCGTGATTAAGTCAGTCGTAACGCAAAGCACCACTATTGTTTCTGCGCAATTGGTAGCCCTGGGTGTGCAGCAGGGCCTTATAGTCTTTTTTCTTGCCATCTCGATCTCCCCAGATATAATCAAATTAGCTTGCTCGTCGCTGTTAACATAGCACCGTCTACTGCTTTTATGTTCATGGATAGGTTTGGAAGAATCGAGAAGGACTGGCTGAGAAGAAGCACAGCATGAAGTCATCGGGTGACGTCACAAGGAGAGCTTCTTAAACCTTCTGGAAGATCTTGAGAAGATCGAAGGGTGTTGATTGGTCTAGATAAACCAGTGAACCTTCTAGAAGATCTTGAGAAGATCGAAGGGTGTTCATGGTATAGCTAAATCAGTGGGACTGATATAGTTTGTCTAAGTATAGGAAATGAGTGGCTTAAAGGTAGCGAAGCAAGTTTGCGAACTAAGGACCATAAATATATTCACTTCACAATTTGCCTTCGCCTGCGCACATCAACATCAACAGGTTAACAGCCGCAACGCGCTCCAAACCGCCAAGCCACCACGTCCACCATGACAAACAAGCGGTGTGAAGTCCTCCTGGGTAGTGGAAACTACCTTCACTGGGAGTATAACATGCGCATGACGTTGGCGCGCAAGGGGCTGCTGGTGCACGTTCAAGTCATCAAGAAAGAAGAAGAGATGACGGATGCCTGGCTGTTCAACGACGCTAAGGCACTGGGTATCATCGCTCAAGGCATAGAGCTACAGCACCAGACCTAGATACGATCGGCGACGACAGCTATGCACGCGTGGGTCATCTTGCGGGACTTCTACAATCGCACCACGCTCCACAATCGTGTCGAGATGACACGTCGTCTGCATGAGTTCAAGATGGAGAATGGTTCGACCATGTCGAAGCACTTGGATGCTTTTGACGAGCTTGTTGTCGGCCTCCAGACACTTGGAGAGCCAGTCGATGACTCTCGGCAGCTAGTGGTACTGCTTAGTAGTCTTCCGACGGACTATGAGCTCATCTCGTCAATTGTGGAGAATTCCAAGGACATTACGCTCATCGAGGTCAAGGAAAAGCTGCTCAAGCAGCATGAACGATTGCAGAGGAAGGAGACTACGGAGAAGGCGTTTCCTGTAAGCAGCAACGGTAGACGGTTCAAGGGAGGCCAAGGTAACGGCCGCAAGGGAAACTATCTACGGAAAACCAACACCGGAATTAAAGGCAAGTGCTTTAAGTGTGGTCAAGTCGGACACTATAAGCGGGACTGCCTGAAGCGTAGCAATGGCGAGGAAGAAGGTGCTGTGTTTGCTGATGGTGAGTTGCAATGCGAAGAATGGCTTATCGACAGCAGGGCTACGTCGCACATGACACCACATCGGAGCGATCTATTTGAGTACAAGGAGTTGAAGACTGGTCAACAAGTCTCTATCGCTGATGGCAAGAAGCTGCAGGTAGCTGGAGTGGGAACAGTCAAGCTGAAAGGTCTAGACGGTCGACGGATCATGATGGTCGATGTCATGCACATACCAGGACTTGACAAACGATTGCTGTCCGTTGGCAAACTGGCAGGACGAGGCATGAGGGTGGAGTTTCAAAGCTCGTCCTGCATCATTTGGAGTGCCAAGCGCGCGATTGCAAGCGGCAAGAAGATTGGCAAGGCGTACTTCCTGGATTGCGAACAAGAAGAAGCCCGGCTTGTAGAATACGCAGGGGCTGAAAGTGAGTGGGAGCTTTGGCACGCTCGCTTGGGACACCCCGGAAGATCTGGTATGGACAAGACACAGCGCGCTACGAGTGGTATGCCGGCGGTAAAGCAGGGCATCGAGAAGCTATGCAGTGGATGCATGAAGGGCAAGCTGACGATCGATACATTCCCGCCTCAATCGCTAACAAGGACGTCACTTGTGTTGGAACTAGTACACACGGACGTGATGGGACCGATGAAGACGGTCTCAAAGGGTGGTGCACGATTCGTATTGACATTCGTAGACGACTACTCAAGATTTGTGGCAGCGTACTTCATGAAGCACAAGAGCGAGGTGGCCGCAAGGCTTAGCGAGTTCAAGGCTTTCTATGAGAATCAATGGGGCAAGCACTTGAAGTGTATACGGTCGGATAACGGGACGGAGTTTGTCAACAAGAAGATTGCCCATATATGCGCCCGTAATGGTATCGTGCACCAGCGGACAGTACCATATAGTCCGCAACAGAACGGCGTTGCAGAACGCATAAATCGCACTATCATGGAGAAGGCAAGGAGCATGCTGTACTACAAGGGTATCGACATGCAGTGGTGGGCAGAGGCGGTCAGTACGGCTGTGTACTTGATCAACAGATCCACAAACTCTGCAAATTCGGACGTAACACCGTTCGAGGTTGGTTTCAAGATGAAGCCGAGTATTGAGCATTTGCGTGTGTTTGGATCGCAAGGGTATGCTCACATTGACGACGCCAAGAGGACGAAGCTCGAACCAAAGAGTTACCGGTGTATGTTCCTCGGATATTCGGAGAACACCAAGGGATACAGGGTGTTCAATCTGGAAAGGTCGAAGGTTGTCATATCGCGCTCAGTAAAGCTGGACGAGCGGGAAGTTGAAGGCATATACGACACGGTGGTACCAGATAAAGTACCAGTCGTCAAGTATATTAGGGACACTGATGAAGCAGTGATTCCGGTGGTTCGTCCGTATGATGGAGACGAGACGATGGAAGATGTCGAAGAAAGCGCTCCTGATGTCGAGATGGACGAGATAGAATCGGCTCCATTCGAAACAGGTATCATCATACCTCAAGTACTCGATCCAGAAACTCAAGAACCAAGAGGCGATGAGATAACGGGATATCAAGCTCCGAGACAAGCTTTTCAGGAGGACAGGTTGGTATTTCAGCCGGAGATAAATTGGACAAGACGCTCACGAGACAGAATGCTGCTGCTTGAGAATGGGAATAGCAGTGAAGACACGTCAGAAGGTAGCGATGGACCACCTTCTCCAAAGCGTGCAAGAATTGATGACGAAGGTCTCATTGCAGAGGCTGTATTAGCCAATGCTGCAAGCGTTGGCGAGGCGGACGACGCTCCATCAACATACAGACAAGCGTTAAAAGGCGAAGACAACAGCAAGTGGATTCAAGCGATGCAAGCGGAGCTCAAGGCGCACGCCGATAACGGGTCCTGGACACTGGTACCAAAACGGCAAGACATTCGACCAATCGGGTGCAGATGGATATTCGCTAAGAAGCGAAACGAACACGGACAAGTGGTGCGCTACAAAGCTCGACTCGTCGCAAACGGGTTCAAGCAGAAATTCGGTGTCGACTTCTTCGAGACGTACTCTCCCGTGGCAAACATGAAATCGATCAGGGTTGTGCTAGCTGTGGTGGTGACAAAGGGATACGTCACTGAGCAGCTGGACGTAGACACGGCGTTCTTGAACAGTGATATCAAGGAAGAGGTGTACATGGAAGTGCCAAATGGCATAGCTAATGCGGAGAAGATGATGTGCAAGTTGGACAAGGCAATCTACGGTCTCAAGCAGGCTGCAAGTGCGTGGAACAAGACAATCCATGCTGTATTCTTACATATCGGATTTCGTAGCAGCGGAGCAGATCAGTGTATCTACGTCAAGCATCAAGATGACAACTATGTCTATGTTTGTCTCTACGTCGACGACATGATCATCGCCGCCAAGACCAGCAAGGAGATTCAAGAGGTCAAGACAGCACTCAAGAGCTCATTTCGTATGAAGGAGCTAGGCAAGGCTAAATTTATTCTTGGCGTGGAGATTGATCATGACCACAACTGCAGTAAGCTGATGATTCGACAGACTCGATACATCGATGATGTGGCCAGCCGTTTTAATCAAGAGGACGCAAAGGCAGTAATCAACCCATGCGAGTCCGGCCTGAAGCTGTCAAAAAAGCAATCCCCAACGACGGATGTCGATAGAGCAGAAATGCAGTCAAAGCCGTACAGGTCGCTGGTCGGATGTTTGCTATACATCACGACATGTACGCGCCCAGATGTGATGTATGTCATCACGCAGCTATCAAGGTTTTTGGAGAATCCAGGTCAGCAACATTGGAAGGCAGCCATTCGTGTTCTTCGGTATCTCAAGACGACAAGAGACTACGGGATAATCTACGACGGCAGCGCTAGCGAAGTAACAGCTACAGCATATACGGACGCGGACTGGGGTAGCAACATCGATGATCGACGCTCCGTGTCAGGGATAATGGTGATCATCGGTGGCGCACCAGCCATATACAAGTCCAAGTATCAACGCACGGTGGCTCTAATCTCTGCTGAGGCAGAGTACATGGCTTTAAGCCTGTGTACACAGGAAGTGTTATGGGTTCGTGCGCTGCTTAAGGATCTAGGTCACGAGCAAGTGGGAGCAACGTGGGTCTGGGAAGACAATCAAGGAGTAATTGGGCCTGCCAGCAATGCCGGCTACAATGCCAGAACCAAGCACGTTGACATTCGTCACCACTTCATCCGGGAGAATGTGGCCCACGATATCATCGTGGTCAAGTACATCTCCACCATGGACCAATTGGCCGACATGCTAACGAAGGCTCTGGGGACCAAGCGACTGAACTATTTGATACAAGCAAGCTGCATTGGACCCCAGGGCATTTAGCAATAGCGGTGAGTGGGAGTGTTAACATAGCACCGTCTACTGCTTTTATGTTCATGGATAGGTTTGGAAGAATCGAGAAGGACTGGCTGAGAAGAAGCACAGCATGAAGTCATCGGGTGACGTCACAAGGAGAGCTTCTTAAACCTTCTGGAAGATCTTGAGAAGATCGAAGGGTGTTGATTGGTCTAGATAAACCAATGAACCTTCTAGAAGATCTTGAGAAGATCTAAGGGTGTTCATGGTATAGCTAAATCAGTGGGACTGATATAGTTTGTCTAAGTATAGGAAATGAGTGGCTTAGAGGTAGCGAAGCAAGTTTGCGAACTAAGGACCATAAATATATTCACTTCACAATTTGCCTTCGCCTGCGCACATCAACATCAACAGTCGCATAGATGTGAATTTTGACGGACAGCAATGCCAAACAAAATACAAAAATTGGACTACAGTAATAACACGCAGAAGCCGGTAGGCTGTTTGACCGTGTGCTCCTTTTGACGGGCTAAATCGGAACGTCACCAAACTAATCATTTATACATGCCCCAGTTCAAAATTAAAAAGTCGCTTTGCCCAAATTATAAAACGATATGATGGCAGTTGCTAGTTGTTATGGATCGTACGACCGAGTGTGTGATCAGGTGACAGTGTTGCCGGTTGTTCTAGCTGAACGATGATCGACTTGTTCTCGCTAATAGCCCACCCCGGTTATTTCTTTAACTATTTTATATCTAAAGCACCTCAGAAATATCACGTTGTTGGGTAATCTAACCGGCTTTATCATAGGCATAACTAGATAAAGCAATGATATCTACCTTTCCGGTTGCAGTAATTCGTAGTCCATAGCGATCTAAGGGCATGTGAAAAACCCTGCACGCGCTGTCAAGGGCTGAGAGTATAAAGCAAAGGTGCCACTTGGCAGCCTTATCAAATCCCAGAGTCCATATTAACTTTACGATAAAAAAATCCATCGACAAGGATCCAGCGTGTACTTTTTGCGTAAGCGCAAAGACGATTGCGAACATTTTGGCAAAAGCCGTAACCAGTTGATGATCTTTGGCAAAAAGATTCGCTGCAAGGTATCTTACGCATTAGTAAAATCCTAAACGAGGAGGATTGCATCTGTCGTG